TGATCAATTTGATATTTCACTAGGGCATCGGCGTACCAAATGTATACACAGATGGATATATGGAGCGTTCAGCAACCGAAAGCCCATTCCTGCATATAATAGTGTTTTCGTTAATGCATTCCCATTCCGAAACGCCATTCCTTGAAAGCTCCTTCTCGTTCAAAGGGCGCAGACGAACTGATACCAAAATTCTCTCTTCACGCCCACTTGTCTCTTCCATTGATAGCTCTTCGTCACCGACAGCTCCCATTTCTCGCCGTCTCCTCTCGGCTTCACAGCCGCAAACTTCAATCAATAACTAAGAATCTGTGACCATTCATAAAGGGATCTATGTGTGCAAAGAGACAGCATTCTTAGTCGTGTCTTCTTTCAGCTACCCATAGTACTTTCTACCGATCGACTTATTACAATTTAGATACAGCAACGCATCAAGTGTTTGTAGGACCATACGCGGCAGTAGGGTCGACAGAACCTCACTGCCTTGCCTCCTAAATGATCTGCACCAACAAACTAATCATGGGTCAGTGCAAATTCGCATACAATTTCTTCAGCAGTTTAATCAAAAGCATGAACCTAAATTTCCTTGTCTCTTTTTTACTATTAGCAAAAAACGACAGATAATGTGCACACTTAGCATCAAAAACAACCGGCCATCAATTTATTGTATTATATAAACAATTTGGAGTTTTCTGGTAATGGTCCAATTTAACAGTCTGTCAAAGACTTCATGTGTCCCCCATTCATTTTAAATCATTTTCCAAATCATATAATAATTGTATATGAAGTTTAATTTCAGATATCTGAACATTCTACAATTAACTTCGAGGAATGTTTGTAGCCTCGGAAAAAATTTTCACAACCTCGATAATACTCATTGCCACGCGGAGGCAGAGGAAGTTCCGACTTCAATTCGATAGTAAAAACAAAACCAGAACAGAAATCAAAAAGTAAAAAAATAAAAAGCAAAACGAATTTTCTCCGAAAACAGAAACAGAGTTACCAGAGTACAGGTTTAAACAAACGAAATGCTCCACAAATTTCCTGCTAAACCAAATACAGATTTGGTAGAACAAAACAAGGATAAACATCAAACATCATGCAATGCCGCATACCTACTGTGACGCAATCAAACCGAATCGAAAACCATGAAGTCAAACTTGACGATTTCAGCTTAGATACCTTCAAGTGGGCAGTGAAATAATGCCGTCCAGCAATTCACACCGAACCGACCCTCTGTTACAGTTCCGAAAGCAGAAACATAAAAATTAGGCGAAAGAGCATGAAAAAAACGAGGCGAAGTATAAGAAGAATAAAAAAATGGAAAAGTAAAAAGAAGAGTGAATAACCAGGAATTGAAAAGCAGTGAAAGTTGATTGGAAGTGAATTGATAGGACGTCAAATCCAGAGAAGAAAGATCACAATCTGAGAGTTACTGGTACTGGTACTGAAAAGGAAGCTTGAGAAAAAGCGAGCAATCTCTCTCTCTCGCTCGTTTTTCACTGCATGTTCTAGATCTGGAAATTTATGATCATACGGAGGAGTAATGGGATTGTTTATGAGGTGGAGAAGAGAGGAAGATGAGCGTTGAAATGGTTATGGCGTCGACTTCTGGGTTAGGTGTAAATTCTGCAACCTTTCCCACTAAAATAATAATATTATTAGGTTTTTCGAATTAAAACTGCCGCGCTAAAGGGGTTTTGTTTGCTTTTTCTGAATTTACCACCTCACCATTCAACCTTTTTTTTTTTTTTTTTAATACACTTTTGATTTTTTCTTTTTCTTTTTATTTTAATGAATTATATGATCAACTCAGTTCATCCTACACAATTTTCAAAACCAACACTTTTATTGTTGAAATTTGAACTAGATCATTTCAAATGTGACATGTTTGGTTCTTCCAAGTTTGAATTTAATTGTATCACAACATAGTAGTTAATATACATCAACTAATTAAACTTCATTTTTAATTTTTATATTGTAGAATTTTAGGACCAAATAAAAAATTAAATTCATATAATAAATATCAAAAGAGTTAGATTTAAAAATTTATTGGTAAAATAGAAACCAAGATAATATTGAATTTAAGCCTTTAACCTAAAAAGAATTATTTGTGTCTTTAACTATTAAAATTTGCTAGAAGTAATTTAAAATATCAACTTTATCCCTAAAACTTATAAAATTCAAAATATGTGTACTGAGTAATTTTAAATCGGTCAAAATTACTTTTTTTTTTTTTTTTTTACTTTATATTTTGAATGTGCTATATTCTCTTTTTTAAAAATTTAAAAAAAAAGTGGTAATTTTAATTAAAAAAGTGAAAGGTTCAAATCGTCACCTATATTAAATTAAAAAATAAAAATAGAATTTAATATTTGAAAATTAAAAATTAAGTTATAAAGCAATTATCTTTCCATTATATTTCAAAATTGAGGTGGAATATTACAGAAAGTAAAATTTAACTTCAGCTTCAGTTCGTATAATATTCTTTTCAGTTTTTTTTTTTTTTGTGGGGCAAAATTTTGTGGTGATAGCAATAATTCAGTCCAAAGGAGCCCTATATTTGGCTGATGGCTCCCCTCTTCTTTCCATACCATTTATTAAAACCGTGATAGTTTTAAAAAATGAGGAAAATACGAACTTAATCATCAGGTTGCTATCTCGTCTCTTGAAAAGAAATATATGTACCATTTATACCATCGTAAGCTTTAAACAAAAAAAAATGTAATTTCAGTAATACATCATGTTTGTTCACACATTTTTAATTTTTAATATTTTTATTATATAAAATATTTAGGACATATATAGTTAAATAATGAGTGTGATTAGGAATAATTTGATGTTATTTTTGGTCGGGGGCATAAAAAGATTTCCCTTCAAAATGGGAAGCAAAGGAAAAAGGTAGGTTATAATAGAGAGAGAGTGGGCACAGCTTTGACTGATGAAAAGGGAAAAAGAGGCACACCACCCACGTGCATTGCCAGACACCACACTCCCAACACTTCTCTGCCCTTTTTTTTTATTATTATTATTTTCGACACAGAATAAAGAAACAAAATGTCCTAAATCCCGTGTTTCCTCCTACTTTTTTTTTTCATTTAATTTATAGAGTGTTTGATTTGATTTTTTATTTATTTAAATTCTCAGAAATTATTTTCTATAAATAAATAATAAAAATATTAGTCAATCGCTTAGAATTTGAGATATTATAGGAAATTATTTCGAAAATATTTTGTATTAAGGGAAGTAACGGAGGCAGATAATAACAAAAACAATAATTAATTTCTTTTAAAAAAAAATAGGCATTAAAGAAACATAAATATTTAAAAGTGAAAATTATTCTAATTATTCTCGCTTAGATTTGAAGTTGAATTAAAATAATTAAAGAAATAAAATGTAAACCTAAAGGGAGAAAGGAGGAAAGGGCAAAAGGGATGGGGGCCACCTCATGCATGGGTCCCACGCCGCTATGAGCTGCTACCATCCTCCACTTTTATTAATTAATTTATTATTTCATCATTTTTCTGGTTCTTTTTTTTTTTTAATTATTGCCGACAAAATTTTATTCCATAAAAGTTGAAATTCCAGTTTGTTGTTCTTCTTCTTTTTATTTATTCTTCTTTATCTCCCTCCATGAGTTTTTTAAATTATTATTATATTATGCATGTTTTTTTTTTCTAAAAGGGTAATTTTGATTAGTTGTATTATATTGGTCTTAAATTTAGTTATATTTCTTAAATATAATTACATGTGGTTGAGAAGCCATCTAAGTTGACTTGAATGAAGCGAGATAATTTAAATTAAGCTATTTGCCACAAATTTCCGAAGAAAAATAAGCTCAAAATTTCTCTCAATCCAAAGCTTACGGAAGCCCATTATAAATGGGTTACTTTCCTAAGCCCAAACTTATATTGGGCTTGTTTGCCCCCACTTAAGCCCAAACTTACATTGGACTGGACTGTTTTAAGCCCACCCTTGGGAAGTTGAGAATTTAAAACAACTCATTTTGGACCTCCGAGAAAAGAGAATCCAATGGTTACGCGCGTGCCAAACACAATGTGACATGCACTTGGCCTAGCGCGCATGGTTGACCTAAAAGAACCCAGTTAGAAGTGTCTCGTGTACTAGGCACTGTGTTAATGCACATAGCTTAGTGTTATAGTTGTGCTCTTTTGGGATTTTCGGTGCGATGGTGCGACACTCACTCTTGCCCTCAAGTAAGTCAATCAACTAAATTTTGAGTCTTCGTTGGTTCGGACGATGTATGCTTAAGCTTCAAACTCCGCTCTTGCAAAATGGTCTTAGAAAATAGGAACGAAAGTTTTTGGAAATAAATTTAAGATCATGGATTAGGAAGCAATAAACAACAACAATATTAATAGCATACAATACAAGTAGAAAAAGCTAACAATTAGGCGTATCTCCTCTATCTTACATTTTGAAGTAAATTAGTATTAATTGATGTAGACATCATTTTAATAAAATGTCATACATGTACAAATTATAATAAATAGACATGGGATCACGAGTAATCTGAACGAACATGACTATGATGGGTAACTCACCTCTTGCTCTTATCGAAGTTTCAAATTTTTAATTGATATAATTTTTTAGGTTTAAGGGGATGAATTGACTTTTTGTTTTTAAAAAAACAGCCACAAATAACTTCAATTTAAGAAAACGAAAACAAGTAAAGTTAAGGAAGAAAAAAAACAAAGAACACAGAGAGAATAGAGAGCACGGCTCTTGGAGTGCGATTGGACCGAGAAAAGCGCGATGGATCTGAACCACAAATAACAATTGTTGAAGAAGACGCGGGCAGTGCCACCACGTGCAAAGGGAAGAGGGTAATCTAACAACGAAACCCCATCTCCACCATCCATTCCCATTCATCCATCCATTTGCATCCAATCTCCACACACCCAGAGCATGCTGTGGCAATATAAACAAACAAAAAAGCTTGGGACCCGCGTTAGATATGTAACTGGTGGATGAGAATAATCGGAGAACGCCATTCATTTCTCCACTCTCCTCCCTTTCCTCTTACAAAACTTGTGGCCATCCATTTCGCTCCCTCTTTCAAGTGCTAATTTGACAAAAAGATCTTCCGTTTTTCCCTCTCTTCATTGCCTTCCATGTGCTCTTCTTCCTATTTATTCTTGTTTCCCTTAGCCCAATTGTCTTCTCGAATCTTCTTTTACCCCCCCAGGCCCCGCTAATCCAACCCCATTTCTCAATTTTCTATGTTTCGATCCTCTTTGCTTTCATTTCCCTCTCTCTCTCTCTCTCTCTTCCTAGTCATTTCCCACCATCGTTTTCGTTGTCAAACGTCAAGCCCATCTTTAATGGAGCTATAATTTGGTCTAGGAAAGGTCAGGAACTTGTTGTTCTTGTTCTTATTGGTTTCTAATTTGTGGGGGTTTGGTTTATTTGGGGCAGTTGTTTTTGGGTTTGTTTTCGTTTTCTTTTTCATCGTGTCTGTGGATGAGGGCGGGGATATGAAGGCGCTGCTGTTGTAGTTTTAGTGTGGTTGATTTTGTTGGGAGAGGAAATGAGAGTGGGGAGCTTCAATTATGAGAACACTTTGTGACTCTTGTGAAAGCGCTGCCGCTATCGTCTTTTGTGCTGCTGACGAAGCCGCCCTTTGCCGCTCTTGTGATGAGAAGGTATTTCTCTTCGTTTCTTTCTTCTTTCTTTTGTTTGTCTTCTTTGATTTTTGTCCATATGGGTTGATTTTGCGTTATGTTGACTGTGACCACTTCACTTCTGCAATGAGAATCTGGTGGATTGATAATTGAATCATGGATTATTGGCCCTTTAGAATTCTGGGTTGTCCTTAGATATGTGTCTGCATTTGATAATTGCATTGCTGGTGGATCTTGTACTTGATCAGAGGAATCTCTTACTGTGGCTGTTAGGTGACTTTGGAGGAAGGCTTTTGTTGCTGTCAATTCAGCAAGAAATATGCTTCATATTCTGCATTGCCTTGGATCTCTCTCAGCAATCTATCTTTAAAGGACAAATTCTCATGTTGACTGACACAGAAACATGATCACTCATTGAATTTATATAAAACAAGTGCCTGATGGTTGTTCTGTTGGATATTTAACATCAGGATTTGTCTGCTTGGATGATAATTTGACTGATCTTTGACCACTTGGTTTTGATGTCGGGACCTCCTGTGGTTGTCCGTGAGATACTACATCGGTTGGAGAGGGAAACCTCTCTCTAGTACTCGCTTTTAAAACCTTAAGCGGAAGCTCATAAAGGAAAGCCTGATCTGCTAGTGGTGGGTTTGAACTGATTACAAATGTTATCGGAGTCAGTCATCGGGGGTGTGCTGGCAAGGACCCTCGCCCCCAAGGGGTGGATTGTGAGATCGCATATCAGTTGGAGAGGGGAATGAAGCATTTTGTGGAAACTCTCCCTAGTAGATGTGTTTTAAAACTTGAGGGGAATGGGAAAGCCCAAAGAGAACAATGTCGGCTAGTGGTGGGCCTAGGCTGTTACACTGTCATTCAAGTGTAGCTCGGGAGTTTATCGATTCCCTTTTCAAGGATAATAGATTGATATTTGATGTGACTGTATATTATTCTCACTCAGTTTTATGCCATCAAATTCTTTCCTGCTTGCTGCTGTCCTCTAAGTTGTGTTTGTTTCATATCGAAAAACTTAAAGCTGAAGCTGAAATCTTAATAAATATGTTGTAAACTTGTTATGAAAGGTCCATCTGTGCAATAAACTCGCAAGTCGACATGTAAGAGTTGGCCTTGCAAGTCCCAGTGATGTCCCCCGCTGCGATATATGCGAGAATGCACCTGGTATGGACGTTTTTCCTTCTGTTTTTCGTACTTGTTAGCTTTGTTATGTACCGCGATTCGGGACAGTCTAGTTAACTTGGATGTAAATTGCTTGCAGCTTTCTTTTACTGTGAGATAGATGGAAGTTCCCTTTGTTTGCAATGTGACATGGTCGTTCATGTTGGAGGGAAAAGGACACATAAGAGATACCTTTTGCTAAGGCAGAGGTTTGAGGTTGGTCGATAGATTGCGATACGACCTTGTGTGTTTTCCAGCTACATAAGAATTGGAACTTTGAACTTGTTTTTTTTCAGTTTCCAGGAGACAAACCTATAAACCTTGGTGAGCCGTCTCCACATTCCAAGGTTCCCAATAATATTGGTAGAGGGCATAACCAGACACTGCCGCATAAAGTCGCCGTGGAAGACAACCAGCGAAATCATCACCGATTATCGCCTGTTCGGGAGGCTAATGATGATGGTCATGCAGAGACTGATACGAAAATGATCGATTTGAATATGAAGCCTCAAAGGGTCCATGGGCAGGCTGCTAATAATCAGGTTCAACTGCTTTTCCTTATCTCTTCCTCCATAGTGTCAACTGTTTGTTTCTAGATTCCAAAACATGGAATGGTTCTAAATCTAACTCAATCATGGTGACTACAAACCACACCCCGAGTTGGTGGCCTAGCAGTCAATAAGGACCATGTAAGACTAAGTACTTGTCCCATGAGAATAGTTTTGGTGAATAGTTTTGGTGAGTGTAACAGCGCAAGCCCACTGCTAGCATATATTATCTCTTTGGGCTTTCCCTTTTGGGCTTCCCCTCAAGGTCTTTAAAACGCCTCTCCTTGGGAGAGGTTTCCACACCCTTATAAAGAATAATTCCTTCTCCTTTCCCATCGATGTGTGATCTCACAATCCACCCCCATCGGGAAGTGTCTCTTAGGGACACCCTTATAAAAATTACTTCGTTCTCCTCTCCGTGGGATCTCACGATCGGTTGGAGATTATTTATAAGTGTGGAAACCTTTTCCTAGCCGATGTTTTAAAAACCTTAAGTGTGGTGGGGTTGGGCTTGGACGGTTATTGACTCAAACAATCAAAGTATAAGAATAATAACGATAATAAAGTTACTCTTAAGGAATCAAAGTATAAGAATAATAACGATAATAAAGTTACTCTTACCGAGTACTAATGTGAAATGAATGGATACCATGTTCTTATCCTTGTCTGCTATAAAGTATCACATGATCAACTACTGTTTTCAAATATATTACATTATATTCCAAGGCGAGCATCTGTGTAGTATCTATGAAACCTGGGTTTCTTTTTCAGGATCTATGATCACGAACCGTGAAGTATAAATTTGGATGACACATTAACACCATTGCATCCAGTCCTCCCCTCCCTTCCGATTCAAACCAGAAGTGGTTCGGTTGCTCGTAGTGGAAACCGACATTGTTTGTTTCGGTGAGGGGGGCGAGCTTGTTTAGCATTGTAGAGAAGTGGTTGGGTAGATTTGAAAGCAAAAGATAAGAGAAAAGCAGAGCATTTTAGTGAAATTGCAGGTGCTGTAATATTACAAGTTTAGAGACAGATCCAGCAGCCGTGGTTGGGAGGGAAGGATGGTATAAAACACCCCTTCTTTTGTATTTGGTTGGAAAAAAGCGCCTACTTTCATTTTACTTCGGAGTTCAGGTGAGAACTGAAATGGATAGAGGAAGCTTGCTTGCCATTATTTATTGCTCTTCTCTCCATTTTTGGTTCACTATTTATTTTATGACTTTATTAACATAAATAAGTATTAAAAGACCCGAAAACTCTACTTGTTCTAATGAATTTTGAATGCAAAAGCACCAGCTCATGATGATTTTCCGAACAAGTCTTGCCAACTATAATAAATAGTTGTGGCTCAATCTAAGTTCTTAATCACGAGCTCAATTAGTAGCTGAAAGGGAGTTGATGTAGAGTGGATTTATGTTCGTCAATTTTTATTATTTTTTCAAAATAATGGATGGAAAAGGTGAATATAGAGTCTAATTTTTCTTTTTCCTTCAACGGAATTATTATTATCCATTTAGTTCTAATTTAATCTATTTCTTTATAACAATTTTGTACCGTAGGTTGATTTTTATTATTTAATAATTTAAACTTGGTAATTTATTTTAAAACTTTATCAAATCTTAACGAGGACTAAAGTTTAGTGACTAAATTATTACAAATTTAAAAGTATATATATATAAATTTTAATTTTTATGGACCAAATTTAAAATTGGATCTAATTTTACTCCAATATTTTAACCGCACAAAAAACACCTGGACAGTAAGAGAATCAAAATTCGAGTTCTCATCTTTTCCACCTTAATATCAAAGAAGCCCACTAGAGTATCATGAGTTTTAAAAGAGTTTGTTTTTGTTGGTTGGGGGTGGGTTCGTGGTTTACGACTCGGTTTACAACTCTAAACCAATCATCTAACTAAAACTTGAGTCAACGTTGGCTAAGAAAGAAAATAGAGTTGGTTCTGTGCACAACTCACCCGCCCACTCCTCAAAAATATGGTTTAAATCTGTTGTTTCTTAATAAATAACAATCTTTAATGGGCTTAAATCTCTTCACAAAAGCCACATCAAATTTTAATAATAAAATTAATATAACTATTACCAATATTTTTTTCATGGATTAAAAAGTGTATATGAACACTCACATTTTTGGTAAAATCAGAGACAAAATATGCACATGATACAAAATGGAATTGACCACAATTTTCCTCGAGAATGGAATGGAAATAGGTGGTTTTGAGTGTGATTAAATCAAATGAATGCTAATGCAAATAAAGAGAATGTGCTCGTGGGATAAATGAAAAGTAGGGATTGAGAGTGATAATTTCAGACTAATAGTTGTAGTTAATATGAATAAAATAATAATAATAATAATAATATGAACAATAGACTTGTAAATGAAAAATCAGAACAAATAACTTTTTACATGGACCTATCATAATTAAGATTTTATATATTTATTTACTAAAAGATAAAAGATTTGAATCTATAAATAAAAGAGGGGAGGAAACTATATAAACATACACATGCATGTCTACAAAACTTGCAATTTGTTAGTTCATTTTCAATTGGTGTCGATATCATAAATCATGAGCAAGGTCGTGATGGTTGCTCGATTGTGGCTGGCGGTGGCGATGGCGGTGTTTTCATCGGCCTTCGTAAACGGCCATGTGACGCTTGGGTGGCTGTCTACAAGAAGCGAGTTCTTAACCCAGGAGGAGTTTTGGTTTGACCAGACCCTCGATCACTTCTCTCATTATGTAAAATTGCCTTCTCTCTTCTTCTGCCTTAGTTTCCATTTCAATTGGATTCATCACATCTGATGACTGTTGGATTTGACTCGGGATTATTGTTCTGTCAAGCGTACTTGGCTTGATCCTGGTTTGTCTGAAATGAACTTGAGAAGTCGGAGCTCAATATATGGTTGATATAAGTGTTCTATGCTTAAATTCTGACCTATATGCATTTTTAGTCGGTATGAACAATTATCTATGACAATGTATCACTCTGAAATACGAATTTTCTATTTGCTTCGTTCCCCTCCATATCTGTAGTTTCGTCGCGACCGTGGCATCTTGTAATTCAATTCTCTTACAATTTCTTGTATTTGTGAATTTCATGCTTGTTAGTTCAATTTACGTCTGTCATTCTCATCTTGGGTGCTGATATATACAGAACCGTCACAAGTTTCAGCAGCGCTATTTTGAATTCCTTGACTACTTTCGGATACCGGACGGGCCAATATTTTTTAGAATCTGTGGTGAAGGCCCCTGCAACGGGATTGCCAACGATTACCTAAGTGTACGTTCGACAGTCATATCTGAAGAGATGTGTTTATGATTTCTTGTCGGAATGATGAAATGAGGGTAAATCTGCGGACATGATATTTATGGGTTGTTTACGTTAATTAGGAGTTCTTGTAGATAGATAGATAAAGAAGAGTAAGATAGAAAGTGAGCGAGTGACAGAGAAATCTATCTTCTTCTCAAGTTCCTTAAGTTATTTGAAGAGGTCATCTCTTTTTTCTTGTTCACTTACGTTATGCAGATTCTGGCAAAGAAGTTTGGAGCAGCCATTGTTTCTCTTGAGCATCGCTACTATGGGAAGAGTTCTCCTTTCAAGTCATTGACGACAAATAACTTGAGATATCTTTCATCCAAGCAAGCTTTGTTTGATTTGGCTGTTTTTCGTCAGTATTATCAGGTAATTATTATCCAATTTGTAGCTATATCATCAATTAAAAGGTGAAGTTCATTTCCTTATCCTTCTACTTGGAAGAGTTGAAGTATAGCTTATATTCAATTTATGTGATTGAAAAATCAGATTGAATACTTGTATGTTTGCATGTGTCAAATGACTCGTAATCAAGTGAAATTATATCTTCTTTTGAAAATTAGAAGTGAAATAATAGGAAAATATAACAGGATATTGGATTTCTGCACTTCACTTCCTAAAGATATAGTTTATTTTGTAACAATTAATGACTTCACCAGCCTAATGTAAACTAATGTTGGTCTGTTGGTCTGTTGGTGATTTACTTGCAGGATTCCTTAAATCTGAAACTGGACAGAAAGAGTGAAAACCCGTGGTTCGTTTTTGGTGTTTCATATTCAGGAGCTCTTAGTGCTTGGTTTCAACTTAAGTTTCCTCATTTAACGTGTGGAAGTCTCGCAAGTTCTGCTGTTGTCCTTGCCGTCTTTAATTTCACTGATTTTGATCAACAGGTGATTCAAATACATGTTATTGGTTATATGCATTCTTGAGCTCTGATTCGATCAACTTCAGATTCTATGCAAGAATAACATTTTTTTTTTTTTTTTTGTTCTTTTTGACAATATCCTGTGTTGTCTATGCAGATTGGCGAGTCTGCTGGTCCAGCTTGTAAGGCTGCTTTACAAGAAACCAATCAACTTGTTGAGCAAAGGTTTGCAATCAACAAAGAAGAAGTACAGGCATTGTTTGGTGCGGAAGAGGTCGATTTTCCATATAATCATCTATAGTGGGACACAGTATTTGTAGTCCTCATATTTTCCTTCTGATATCTACCCTGTGTTTACAGATGGAAGTGGATGGGGATTTCTTTTATTTCCTGGCAGATGCTGCTGCTATGGCGGTACACTTAAATTTTTGAAGCCTCTCTGTAAGAATTTTCAGTTTTTAATGTTGGTTATCTTAATTTGTTAAACATGTGCAGTTTCAGTATGGAAATCCAGATAAATTGTGTTGTCCTCTTGTTGAAGCAAAGAACGCGGGAAAGGATTTAGTGGTATTCATTCATGTATTTCTTCTCAGTTCTTACCTTTATGCTTTACTTGTTTATAGCCGGTTTTGTTTCCTAATAAAAAATGGAGGAACTATATTATATACTAAGAATGAGCAAGAAATTGGACAAAAACTAAAAGTCTAGAGGTAATGAAGCAGTTAGAAGTTCTATCCTTCAATATCTGGAAGGAATAGTACAATTTTTGTAAAAAATAAGCCTACAAAAGAAGCCAGGATATGAACTTTGTGCCACTCTAAAACTTGTCTTCCACTTAGAAATTCTATTACTCCTCTCTTAATGAAGTGCAACTAGACATCCAATCCTTCAAACTCAAGAATTAAGGAATATGATGAACTTTTTTGATCATCATCAAGCTCAAATCTCTAGATAAGTTCCCAATAGTTGTTAGATTTTAAGCACTAATAGTGACCCAACTAATAGTATAGTAGATTTATCTGTTAAGAGGTTCTCAATAGAATCTTGAAGTGTTTTGAATGCCCTCTTGTTTGCCACCCTAATGTTCTATGGACATGCGATAGTGCTCAACGAGGCTGAAAGGGACATCTCCCATTCATTTAAGACCTTAACAATTAAAAGGATGAGATAGAAAAACTGGTCGAAGGAATGCTAGCCACTGCACCATGTTTTTTTGGGTTCTATCCGTGCTAGCAGCCAATTAGCTATTTTGCTGTGGCTGGCCTCTGTGTATTATCTAGCATTTGCAAAATCAAAGAAAAAGGAAAATAAAAAGAGCTTTAAGTACAAGAAAGGAGATGGCCTTTTGAAAAGGCCACAGAATTTAGTTATTAGCATCTGCTTGCCTATAACTAACATTGATATACTTGTTTCTATACCCGAACAAACATATCAAACTCTGTTTCCATCCCACGGTTAATTTACTTGTTTAGCCATCTTAACATAGCTGCCAAATTTGTCTGGTCTATAAAAAATGTTGCTTGAAGGTTTAAACTAAAAGTTGGGCAAGCCATGTCGAACAAGTTTACATTCAACAAACCCATGCAAAATAAATGATTTCCGACCTCCCTCTACACTACAGTGTCCTTTAAATGGACACGTTTTAAGGATAATAATCGGGTTTCTGCTCAGAATGTGCATATTTTCACATACATATGTTATCTTTATCAACGTTTTCTGAGACATTTTTACACCGTGAATGGCACATTTTCACCTGCAGGATGCCTATGCCAAATACGTTAAAAATTATTTCCTTGGAAGTTTTGGTTCAAACGTTCGGACTTACATTCAGAAACACTTGAAAAACACCACTCTGGGTGAAGATAGTGCTGACCGGTTGTGGTGGTTCCAAGTTTGTACTGAAGTTGCATATTTTCAGGTAGCACCTGCAAATGATAGCATTCGATCCTCCAAAGTTGATATAAGGTATTTTTCCAGTCCCCTCTTCATAGATTTCGTGATTGTGATAGTTTATCATATTTCCATACTCCCTTTTAGCAGCTATTTGTTTACAAATAACTCAAGTAACCACAGATATCATCTGGATCTCTGCAAAAATGTTTTCGGAGAGGGCCTCTATCCTGATGTAGACACTACCAATATTTACTATGGAGGCACAAAAATTGCTGGTGTGTACTCGGGACTTCTTTTCTGGCTACCTCTACTTCACTTTAGTGTATTATACAATAGGTTCTATGCTTTTAAGTTTTAGAACCCAGTTACTTCAACCCTGATCCCTGAAATTTCTTCTTATTTTTAGTACTTTGTATGAAAGCACTTCTTGGCCAGTTCAACAAAACTTCCAAAGCTTTTCCCTTGTAGATAAGCTTTACCTTTCAATGACCAACTGTTTGTTTTTCCATAGATCAGGACAATGACACTGGTTCAAGTCTTATTTTACACGTAGTTTGAAAAAAATATTGTTTTTTGCAGGTTCAAAAATAGTTTTTACAAATGGTTCGCAGGATCCTTGGCGCCATGCATCCAAGCAAATACCATCTCCAGACAGTGAGTTCTGAATTATTAACTCTTAAAAAAATAGTTATATGTGAACTTCTCGGCCTCAGAATGATCTTAGTCTTTGGCCAGGCTAGTTACTCTGGATTGTTTTGTGGGTTTGCCTGGAAATGTTTTCGTCTCATCTAAGGAGTTTCATTTTTGTTAAATCAAGTCAAGAAGATATTTACATAAATGAATGGCCATTTTAATTTAAAGTAATGCCGATACTGAGTTTGATTAGGCCAGTGTCATTTACAATTCTTCTTCCTTTTTTTCTTTCTTTCCCTTTTTAATATATATTTTTATTTCAACTCAGTGCCATCGTACCTCTTGACATGTCGCAACTGTGGTCATGGAACTGATTTGCGAGGATGTCCTCAATCTCCACCAAATATTGAAGGTATGTAAAGGTCTTCCGTTATATCCTTCTCTTCATTCTGTCTACAAATCATAAGATAGAATTTCGAGCTTTGAGATTTCTGGTGGTCAATTTTATTTCATATAGAACTCCTACGTTTATTGGGGGAGGAGGAGAGGGAGGTCATTTATCCAATGCCAGATTGACGATAGTTAAAAGTCGACTTTTATGGAGAAAAAAAAAAAAATGACGTCCCACCACAAAAAGGAACTTAAAGTAAAATGAGATCTAAAGAGTAAGTACGGGATGCACAACGAGAAACATTGAACCTAATAGGGGAACACAGGTTAGAAGACCCCCTCTTGACTCCCATAGAGGTTCGATTGTACCTCTCCTATCAAAGACTCCACAGCAAGCACATACATTTCCTTCTCATAGCCCACAACAGAGACAACTAAATCAGAAAAGGAAGGGAGCTCTCAATGGCTATTTCTTTCCAAGGATTCTTGTAAGAGCCTTTGACTCCACCCGACAGCCAGCCACTTAGAAGGCTGGGGACTGTACTTCCTCGCTTTGATCCCACACCAAAGGAAAATGCCAAAGCCATTTTGGTAATTGAGTTTTGTTGCGAACCCTTAAATTCCAAATTTCGAACCCATCAAGGGCGACGGGTTTCCCCCACCAAACCTATGTCCAATCTACTTGTTCCTCCTTGCCATGAATTTGATCTCTCTCTGTGTCTCTTCAGGTGATGCTCACAGCTGTACCTCCCCTGCTACAGTTTACAAAGTTAGGCAGCAGTTAGTGAAAAAGATGGACCTTTGGCTGTCGGAGTGCCAAGCCTCTATTAATAGGAAATATGTTTGATGCTTAGCTTTGACTGCTAAATCACTCTCAGTATTCCATCCTATTCTTTATGTATATCCTTAAAGCAGATGTTTATACGCTCCTTTGAGGACATATCATCCTATTGATGCAACCAGAGAGCCCAAACTGTGTGGCCATTTATGTAATTATCCTACCATAACTCAATAATGGATGGAATGAAATGTCCCTTTTCTTGATAACTCTATGTTGTTTCTTTGAATAGAATCGTTCTATAAATCATTAATATTTATAAATTAAACTTCACATAGATCATTGTCATAGTTATAAGTTATCCAAGAATAAAAATATATTTTTTGCTGTATTATATTAGTTTTTAATCTCTTGCATAAAAATCGTGGTCAGATTTAGTTGTTAAATTATTCTATTAATAATTTTGCCAAATTTTTCAGCGGATGTCTCTTATTCGCTTATTAGATAACTAACTTTTTCATTTGATTATTATTTCTAGTAATGTTTTCAGTGTAACAATTTTGATTAAATGAGGCAATACAAGTGAATAAAAAGGACAATTATATATTTATTCACATATCTGATCATTATAATTTTAAAAGTACAAAAATTATATTGTCAACTAAATAATAGAACTGTAGACGAAACTATGATTTGAGATTGAACTTAAAAAGTTCCATAGACTAAATGAAAACTATTTTTCATACGACATGGTGCCTCACCTCGCTAAAGTCCACACCTTATGGCTCAGGCTAAAAAAAAAAGAAAGAAGCTTAATACACTTCGCGCTTTTGGCCCCAGAAAAATTCGAACCTCACAATAGAAAAAATCTTTGCTCTGCTACTTTAAATACGTAGATGAAACCCAGAGTAAGATATAGGTTATTAGTGAAGTGGTTACTTCAAAGCCTCTCAATCCTTTTATAACAGGGGGGATCACAGATACCACCAAAAAGGTTCCCAACAGCCATGAGAATATGAAAGCTCCAGCCCTGTACCATTGAAAAAAAAACTCCCATTAATTAAACTCAGTTATCTTATCAGAAACCATTGAATTCTGTTCTATATGGTTGTAGGAAAGGAGAGTAGCCAATCAATCAACAAAAAAAGATATATTATGTTCATTCATAAAGTTAAAAAAGGGAACGATATGCATATTCTGGACGTACCCATAAAGGAATGCTCGGAGTTTGCTCTTCAGTCGATCGTGTATGAAATAGAACGTCGCTATGAGTGATACAGCAACCTGGAGGGTTGGGCCTTCCTCAGTTGGGAAGAGAATGGTAAGAACGCCAAGAACTAAAAATGCAATTAATGCCGTGATTATGAATTTTGTAGATGGTGTTTGAAACCTGCTCCTTATAGCCTGCACAACCCGTGACTGATTGACTTCCCTCACCTTTTTCTTGAGGTCAATTTTCGGGTTCTTTCTGTCGTAAAATTTTTGCATAATAATTTTATCATGAGCTGCTTCAATGGCATCAACACTGTCTTTGTGCCCTGCGTACCTATTAATAAGGAAGTTTCTGGCAGATTGAATTTCATCTTCTGATGCTTCCTTACTTATGCCGAGCCGTTTGTATGGATCCCTTACATGAATTCGAGGGAATTCAGCTGCACTAGCAGAGAAAATCATAGTTTTGGCCATGAACTTTTACCTTCTAAGAGTATTTTGATCATGAATTTCCAAATCTGAATATTTAACCCTTGAGGGTTGTAACCATTAGTCTAAACGGTCCCCAAACTTCTAATTTTCCCTTTCAAGCCACATAATTTTGTTGTCTAATACCATTTCAACAAGGGAATAGGAACAATACCAGCAGAATCATTTGCAAGATCTCTGGAGGAAGCATCAAATGCACACTTAGTAGTGTGTCGAATTTGGAGAGTTTTGCATCTAAGAGCAGGACCCGTCCAGTAATTTCTGCATTAAACAAGTTAAATGAGGGTGAACTGGAAACACCACATCAGAACAATAGCGTGTATTAGTGAGCAGAACCTTTTGAGATACTGCAAATCAATAATTTCTCTAAAGTTCCCATTGGGAAAAGATGAAATCAGCTCACGTTGAATCCTAGTACTAGGTCTCAGAGGACAACATTTTGAGGGTTTGCCACTCAATCCCGACAAAATCATCATCGTACAGTATCACTAATATGTTTGTATTCTCCGAGCCACAGAATCAGCAGCTGAATGGTTTTGAAAACCACAGTATTAGATACACTTTAAATAAGATTAAGAAACAGAAACTGAAAAAAATTGATCATAATAAATTAGAAATTATCACTGTATAAGAATCCGAGCATCAGCCATAAATTGCACCAATCAACAAGATGAAGAGAATTGGTATGCTATATAGATTACCTTCCATTATTTAGTCATGTATAAACGAGAATATAAAGTTTCTCTTGAAATTTCCAGGGTGTTCTATCCTTGAGCAGTGGTTAGAAATGTTATATAATGAAGTTGTCCTTATTGGTACGCCGTTTGGTGTCTGAGCTTCCCCTCAAAGTTGTAAAACGCATCTATTAGGGAGAGATTTCCACCTCAAAGTTGTAAAACGCATCTATTAGGGAGAGATTTCCACCTCCTTGAAGGAATGTGCCATTCCCCTTACCAACCAATGTAGGATCTCATAATCCACCCCTTTGAGCGGAAGAAATGTTATATAATGTTATATAATGAAGTTGTCCTTACTTGGCACGCTGTTTGGTGTCTGAGCTTCCCCTCAAAGTTTCAAAACGCATCTAATAGGGAGAGATTTCTACCTCCTTAGAAGGAATGTGCCGTTCCCGTTACCAACCAATGTAGGATCTCACAATTCACCCCTTAGAGCCCAACGTCCTCACTAGCCCATAACCCAAGTCTCTTCTTCCAATAGTCAGTAATTGATCCTCTTTCTCAGTCAACAAAATTATGCGAGGAGAAGAGAAGAAAGAGAAAATGCATAGAGAGACAAGTAGAATAAATTCGTTTTCATCCTCCCTCGCAGCCCATTTGGATAAAACTTTCAACCCGCAATCAAATTTTTCTAGAACATTCATTCCACTTTCAGGGTTCAACATGTGAGCTATAGAGTGGAGTTAAGAGAGCTAAACCCATTCAACCAATCAAAGGAAATGCCGCAGTGAAGGTTAACTAATTTTTAGAGTACAAAAGAGCAAAATTATGCGATGCATGACGAAACAATAGTAAATTCCAGCAGAACCTCAATTGATAAAATTCGCTTGGTTCACCATCCACCCAAAATCAACCTCAAAAAACACACGAAATGAAATGAAGCTCAAAACCTCATGGGCGAAAATGCACGGCGGTCCGATAAGCAAAAGCTTCAGTTGGGTCGATCGCACATGCTGAGCTGAAGGGAGAGGGAAGACGCTGACCTAGAGCTTTCGAAGTGCGCTACCGAACCACTAAACCCTGCTTTCTGAAAAATAAGAACCCAATTAAGAAATAATAGATTTTTTAACTTAATTTTTTATTTTGACGACTGATTTATCTCCACACTATTGCACAATTCTTTTCCACGTAATTAATAATATCTAATTTGAGGATAAAAAAATATAACAACAATAATAGTAGATTTGTAAGGGTAGTTTGAGCACTTGTTCTAAAAAAAAAAAAATAATAATTTTGTTTAAATTTTTAGAGACAAAAAAAAGAAAAGAAAAAAAAAAAAAGAAAGAAGAAGAGGAAGAAGAAGAGAATATCCGTATTTCCTAGCAGCATTGTCAATGAATATCGACCACAGCGACTGAAAGTAAATGGATTTGAGGTGATTTTAGCTCTGTGCGGAGCATTGAATCAAGCAATTTCGATCTTCTTCGAGACGGGGAACAATGTCGATATCTTCCATGAAAATCGCCCTCCCCACCCCATATCCGTCGTCCGTTCGTCGAGTAAATCGGTGAGTTCCCTTTTCAGGGTGGACTTTTTGCTTAGAAATTTCAATTGAAATCATTCGTGAAATCTCTTCCAAAACTGCGAGCGCTTTAGGCACAGATACAGGGGCGTTGCTGTTGCAAGTCTGGGAGGAAATTCTTCTACTTTGGGGGTGAAAGTTACTGAAGGCGAAGGAAATTTACCAAAGGTTGTGCTCACTTCTCCGCTTGGTAGGTGAGGACTTTCGATCTTCTCATTAATATCAGAACGGATTTTGATTATGATTTTTCTTATTGTTTTGACGTTTTGCAATTTAAATTTCACATTGCATTGTGGTGCTTCGGAATGAAGTTGTGAAGTGTACATGATATTTTATCGATTTTCAGTGAGGCTGATGTATACTTGTATGGAGGATGCATTACATCTTGGAGACTCGCAAATGGCAAGGATGTCCTATTTGTTCGACCAGATGCTGTTTTTAACAAGAAAAAACCAATCAGGTTTCTTCCGCCCTGATTTTCATTTCTTCTTTTCCTCCTTATTCTAAACGTATCAGTAGCATATTCATTCCAAGAAAATAAGTGAATCCATATGTTCCAATTTTTGTGTCTAATAGTTGAATTCATCCCTTCCTTTTGAATTTGCCAATTCCAAGAAGATAAAACCATGTTTGCTTTGTAGATTGCATACTATATTAATGGTTAGAGAAAAATGCGGCAATAATGAAAAATTGCGGCAATAATGAAAAATTGCCGAGTCCCTCGTGAATGGATCAAAAGATTGACGAGAGTTTGAATCTGATGTAGCATTTTTTAAGATCCAGATTACTGTTTTATCAATAGGAAAAGGCCTAAATTACCTGCAAAAGATGTGTTTGAAAGTATTGACAGTGTTCTTCTTTGTGACAGTGGAGGCATTCCACATTGTTTCCCACAATTTGGACCTGGCCCTATACAACAGGTATCACTTTATTTCTGCAAGCAGTGCTTTTTAGTTTTCCTTGGTCATATTGAATTAATCCGTTTACTAAGGAGAGCTATTGACAACTATAGTTCTCAGTGAGAAAAATGGTTAGTCATCTCTGATTAAGCTCATAAATGCATCTTTTTTTTCAAAAAAATATGTCATTATGTTCATTCTATCAAACCCTTGAGCTTATGATGCACAGCCTGGATGTTAGTTGTTATTAAATGTGATTTTTCCTTCATAAGTTCTTCTATTTACCCTTTCTCTAATCTTATTTTGTGCTTTCACCATATTCGTTAGTATGAGACTTAATGAATATGATAAATGCACAAAACGAGCATAGCTCAACAATAATTGACATCTACTCCTACTCCTGGTTGGGAGGTTCAAATCTCCATTTCCCCCACATTTGTTGTGCTAAAAAAGTTGATGTGACTTGCTCGTGATTATAACTATTGATATTGACAGCATGGATTTGCAAGGAATGTGGATTGGTCCATCCTTGATTCCAAAAGTGTTGAAGACAATCCAGGTGTAACTCTTGAACTAAAGGATGATTCATATAGTCGTTCCATGTGGGATTTCAGTTTTCATGCTCTTTTCAAGGTTAGCTGTTGCTCACGCTGATCAATAACATCTGTGCTTGGATTTTACTTTTTCGTTCTGCTAACCTCTATATTACAAAATCTAGTTCTGATTCTTTATGATCGCAGTTGTTTTAACAGTTATTTTCAATTGTTTGCAGATTATTTTGGGTGATAAGAGCCTTTCCACTGAGCTAATAATTAAGAATACCGACAACAAGCCATTTTCATTTACTACGGCGTTGCATACTTACTTCCATGTAAGTACACCAACTCATTTTAGTGTTTTAACGGGTGGCCTTTCTGTATCGTTCAATTGCATGTTAATTGGTACCAGAATTTTGTTGGTGATCACTACCTACCCAAGATCAACTGAAAATCATGTGCATGCTGCATAGTAAGATTGATGTGGAAATTGAAAAAAGAAAAAGAGAGGGAGAAGAGAAAAACTGGCAAAGAATTTAATCAATTGTTTGAAATTAATAAAGGATGTGGGAATATATATTCTCTATATATATCTTACCATTGATTAACCGTACTCTTGCATACTGAATAACAATCTTTCCATTGTCACGCAGGCTTCTATAACCGGAGTAAAAGTTGAGGGATTGAAGGGTTGTAAAACATTGAACAAAGATCCAGACCCCGCCAACCCATTGGAGGGTGTGGAAGAAAGGTTAGTGATATATTATTTTAAAATGTTTCTTCTACATACATACTGTGTTGAATTTGATATCAATTCTTTTGGTCGTTTATCAGCTAGATTCTACAATGTACACATGCAGTAGGATGAAGCTGTTTCTTGTTACTTGATGCCAATCAATTGGTCTTCCTTTGCTTTCATGAGTAATAACTGAGGTCTTCTTAAGAGTATTGTGTTTGGAATAATGTTCTAAGTGCTTAAAAACAATAGTTTTGCACTTTTTAAGCACTTAGAAAGTCATTCTAAACAAACCCTTCATTTATGCCTTAAAAACTAAATGATGCTATCTTCACTCAGAACTTGATTTTTCAAGACGTGAAAATGATCAATTATGAATGTCCTACCTGAGTTCTTTAAACCAAATGTTTTGATAGAACAGCTGAGGGAGAGATTATCTAGTCGATTAAAAGAAGAAAAAAAAGTACATAGGTTTCAGTTGATCGAGAGGTCTGAGGCTTTCCGAAAATACTATTTACAAGCCTATTGCCAGTGTCTTCACTTCCTATATACATACATACATACATACTCTGCTTAAAAGAATGACTCGAGGGCCCCCGAACTTTCGTATTACAAAATATACTCTCCTGACACATACCAACTCCCTCTCTTCACTCGAGCATTTCCCTCACGTTCTCTTCCTAGAATACATGACTCGAGTGGAAGGTTTATCTCATATTTCTTTAGTCAAAGTTCTTCAAACTGGTTTGGATACTTGAAATTATGAAATAGGAAATGTTTCATATGATTTTCTTACCGATCATGCAGGGACGTGGTCAGTTTTCCTGGATTTGTTGATTGTGTTTATCTTGATGCACCTGGAGAATTGAGTCTGGATAATGGCTTGGGTGACAACATAATTATCAGCAATACAAAGTGAGTTGGATCTATTTGATGCTCTGTTTGGTATATGTTTAGCTTTCAAACTATTATTTTTCTCTGTTTGAATTTAACTTATGGTTCCATTTCTCCAATTGCAATGCAGTTGGTCAGATGCAGTGCTATGGAACCCACATTTGCAGATGGAAGCATGCTATAGGGATTTCGTTTGTGTTGAGAATGCTAAGGTACCTTGATATTTTGGGAAAAGTCTCTTGATATATAAACTTATTTTAATTTTTAGTATTGCTTTCAAATTTGATATATACTCTAAAATTCACCCACTAAATCTGAATAATAACAACAACAACAACATATAAATCCTTCAAACCTACTGATTTCGATGAGAATCGAACTTTGACGAACATTGAAACAGTACAAGCCTTTTCAACTTCCAGCCGTTCACTATTTCTTTAATTCCAAAGTAACATTTAGAACTCTTTTTTATTTCTTACTTTCTTTTATCCTCTGCCCCCTTTCTGGGGAGCCATACAGATTGGGAAGGTCCAGTTAGAGCCTGATCAATCTTGGACAGCGACACAGCAACTCAGAATTGCTTGAAACATGGACAAGAGCTGCCCAAATATTTGAATCCCTCCATTATCACCTAATTCAAGTTCTGGAAAGCTTTGAATAATGGGATTCGTTTTGTAAGATATTGTGCTTCTCAAAACTACATTGTCAACGTTCATTAGCTTTATCCTATTGAACAATGTAACTAAAACAAAAAAAGTATTTTGTGAAAGCATTTTCTGGAGAATGAAGATTACATTTATTCAATAAGATGTCTCACGTGGGGCTCATAATTGGTATATAAGTTCAAGTTTGTATGTCATAGAACTGAGAAGCTTGCGTTTGTGTAGCCTGTATTTGAATTGAGTGGCTGATTGAATTATAGAAATTTGGGTCTTTTGCTGGTTTGTGTGTGTGAGATTGAGATTGAGTTCATGTAGCTTGAGTTTGTGCTACAGCTACAAGCTATAATCAACTTGAGAGAGCTTAGAAAAGGGACATTTTACAGGAAATAGAGAAACCAAAAACCAAAAAAACACTTCCTGTTTAGCTGAGCTTTATTCTCTGTCACAGGAAAAGTTTCTAATTTGTTGAACTGTTTATGGTATTCCTTTGATTTTTCTTTTATTGTAACTTGTAAATTTCTCCATCCATCATTTGGTTTACAAATAAAGCCGTCGGTATAATTGTGATTGTCAATACTTTTATAATTTTTTAAATATAAATTTAGGTATTTAATAAACATTTTGACTCTTAAAATTCACATTTTTATTTTATGAGATTGATATCGACGGAACTTTTTAATTATAATAATTATTAATCGTGTGGTATTAATTATTTTATCTTTTTTTTTTTTTTTTGAAAAACATTCAACAAAAAAAAAAAA